TGCCCCGCCCAGATACGATTTTTCGAAATCAATCTTGTGAAGTCTGTACTAATGTACAAGACAACTGTAAAATTAAATCGCTATAGCTAACATTTAAGACCAAAATCGTATCGGAGGAGTAAAGCACTTTGTCTTTGAATTAACCCAGTGGAACGTGTATCTTGGATGAAATATTTGCGACGAAATTGCCCCGCTCACCGACGATTTTTCGAAAGCAATCTCGTTATTAGAGAATTAGAGAGAAACGTTATCAAATATCGCTCGCTGCCGTAAGTGTAGCAGCCGGTGATGTAAAAATTTTCTCAATGTCGGAGTGTTGCCAGATATACTTAAAAATCATAAAAACTTAAAAATTTCAAATACGTAGCGTTCTTCTCCAAATTCTAAAATTATTTCATCTGTGATACACTGAACTTCAACCAACCAAACGGACTCAAAAATATTTTTGCCTCGAAATTGAAAAGAGCGGCGCTCGACGGTAAACTTTTTTTTGTCGCGTTTTTGGCAGAGATCACAAAGCGTGTGCAGCGCGGCACCGACAATTAAAGTTAATACGTCACGCATGTGTGACGACCGTCGACGAGACGCGACGTTGTCGATTCGAAACGATGTATCCCGCAAATTTTACGCAGATGCCAGCTTGTTGGATTGGATTGGATTTACTTCTAATGGCCACGACTACAATAAGTCACTCGGCCAGCTTACAAGTGTAACATATACAAAAATCCTGAAGAATGCCTTCCTTAAAGAAGGGTCTGGACCAATCCATCATCCCCAGGTTGATGAACATATGCAAAAACGAGAACAACTTCTAAATAAATTGTCATAAAATGACGACCGATTCATCAAACGGCTCCCGCAATTATCTTATACGGGATATCCGATACCATCCGGCCTGGTTACCAGCGTGAATATAAGACATCCGGAAACCGTGTTAACATACACATCATGGAATCACAAATCACAAATCCGTGTACATCCGCGTAAGACGAACACTATTTCCCAAATTTCTCTATCACTTCAGATAACAAATGTACAAAACAAAATTTTCTTTAAATGACACTAATTTCAACCGATTTCTACAGATTTTTTGGAACCGGGCATTAGCAACGTCCGCCATGTGCAATGGTTCCATCGAGAGTCCCCAGATTGTTTTTATTTTTCGCGATGTACGGCTGTTTCGTGCGACAGGAATGTACAAGTTACGTATTTTCTATAGCTAACCATATAAAAATCAAATTAGACCGTAAACATTATAAATATGAATAATTTTCGGCGCATATCCTTAAATTTTACTTTGCTCAAGAAAATTTGGCAAAATCGTACCGAAAAAACGCTATGCCTTAACTGAAAACTGTCGAGTCGACGAACTGTCAGCGGCCATTCTGATCGTTGAAATCCGCCAGGTCTTATTGGTTGTCAGCGAAATTTAAAATGACACGCGCAACCGCATATTGTGATCTTGACTTCAAAAGTGCCTGTTTTAACAGCGTGGGCAAGGCCGCTATGTACAATCTAGTAGCTGTATAGTAAAACCAGGGACTCCAATGGTCCCATACATTAGAACATCAAATTAAAAAAATTATCGATATTTATTTTAGGTGTAGAATGGGGCGAGAATATAAAAGAAAATTGTGTTATTCAACTTTAAAAAGATTAAAAATAATAGGGGCTTGATGGTTGTATTTAATTTACCTACACCAAAATTTATTGTTACTATATTATATTAGTACATATTTCTTGTATTTGTTTTTTTTTCGGAAAATCACAAATTTCGTTTTTTTAATTTTTATTTTGTTACGTATTAATCAGTCGATGTCACTTTATCAACGAGTGTGTTAATTGTAAGTAAAGTAAGCTTTTACTACAAAGTTTTTTTTTGGGCACTTCAACAGTTTTCCTCTTGCGACTCGAAAATATCGAGCTGACACGCGGTGTGAAACTCGAACGCTTCGCAAATGCGTCGACAACACTTTTTTACCGCTTCCGCGCAAATATAGTCACCTAAAAAACATCCTGTGTGCACCGGATATTTACAATTACCGGAGACGGCAAACAAAAGAGCGTCACTACGTCAGCTAGATCGAGATGGCCAAAAATATAAAGATAATAAGAAAACTGGCCATCAAAATTAACGCACCACTTTGAATTATTGCTGGAAATTCACATAAAAATGAAATTATTTATTTTCATAGTAAGCTGTTGTGTATCAATTGTTTTTAGATCTAAGTTTTCCATATTTTTATTTTGTTGGAATTTAGATAACTGACATATTTCTTTTTTTATATAACTTTTATTGCTAAAATTTGTCATTTGACGACGGAGCTCTCGAAGAATTGGACAGAGATTTGGTGTATTGCATACATCCGTATGATCCAATGCCACAGGGAGACAGGTCAGCACTTGAGAAGACCTGCGCATAACTCCGTCAGTTCAAGATCGTTTTTTGAGTCCCTGCATTAAGAGAACGGTTTGTAATAGCAAGATTGCTGCAGACACGGCTACAGGAAGCAGATGGAGTCGATGGACTAAGACTGGGAAAGAGTTTTTTTGGTGAGATAACACCATAATTTTTCTCTACAACTCAGATAAGAGTGTTGGTGGAAGGTCAGTTGTGTTTTGGAGGGGATTCTCTTTAACAGCTGACTTGGCAAGGGAGATCCTGCAAGAATATGTGGTACTATTTGTCCCTTACATTGATGAGAATTTTTTGTTACAGCAAGATAATAGTCGACCGCGTGTTGCTCAGATTGTGCAAGATTATCTTAATGAGGATGGAATTGAAACTATGGATTGGCCAGCAACCAATCCAGGCATTAACCCAATTGAGAATGTTTGGAACATGATCTACGGGCGTTTTCAAGACGTTCTTAATATAGAATTGTTTTAATTTTAATTTAATTTTAAAGTTAATTATTTTAAACTTAAGTTAATAATTTTTTTTATTTTTTGCAATTTTCTTGTCTTTTTTATTTATTTTTTTCTTATCTTCTTTTGGAATTTTATGTTTTGCTAATACCTTTATTAGGTTAGAATAAGAATGTATTTAATAAGGGCATGAATATATTTTACGCGTATTATGAAATAAAAAACATTTTCGGAAATATAGTAGTGGTGCGTTAATTTAGCTGGCCAATGGACATGGTATTAAGCAAATTATTTTATTGTTTTGTTAACAAAACATGTAAATGTCACATCTGTGCCGCATCTAGCATTAAATATGAATACAAAAATTATCTTCTAGATATAAATCTAAATAATTTTTCTATCTAAGCATTCGGATGACTTTCTTAAGTCAAATTGTTTTTGAAATTCATTTCTAATTTCGTTCATTATCGACGTCATTTTCAGCAGCCCCAAGCAGATTGACTGGAAGTGGAACTATTTTGAAAAATATATATTTTTTAAATGTTGAATAAACCTCCAAAGTGCTGGTCTTGAAGGCCCTCATCCATGCATAGTTGGATTGATGGGCAAAAAAAAAATTTTGCTATAGAGTGACAATTATTTGAGATACTAAACCCTCCAAGGCCACCTAAGCAGTTTTTATTTTTGACGTCATTTATAGGTCAGTCGTACCAGTTTATAAAAAATACCAATTTAGCGGATCGTCAGTTATCAAAAATTTGCGTAACAATCATAATCGATGCGGGAAGGGACCATGGGAAAAAGGGGCGCATGGACGGTCGGCCTAGAGCCTCGGCCATTTAAACTGTTTTTTTTTGTAATTGTATTACAAAGTTAGTTTCTTTAACGCCATTTTTAATCGGCTCCCGTTCCCATCGTAACGCGCAATCCGGATCGGATGTCGGATACATAAAAAAAAATCCCAACCGGGGGCTACTTTTTCGTGACGTCAAAGCAGTAATGTGCCGCGAACGCGACGAATTTCGCGTTAAAAGGTTTCGGCCAGACCCTAAAAATACAACGCCGGCCCTCGAATAAACCAGCGGCGCACGGTGCCGATCGATGTTCAAGGTTAAAAACATTGAAATCGAATTTTTCACTATGTCAAACTGTAACTACGCGAACAAGCCTGTCAGATTTGAGACATTTTAATGTAGAAGTCTTTTTTTGTTTACTATTTCTAGGGCTAAGTGAACTAAAACTAAATTTAAGTTTAAAATTGTGGCAAAACTTCATAAATCATTTATCAATAACCTGCTAAAACTTACTTGATAGTTATTTTTCTCGGAAATAATTTATTTCTATTAAAATTGGGCACTTAAAGTCACGAGCTCTTTAAATGATGTCGCATTTCTTTTATAGCTGGACTAACATATTGCTGTCATGTTCTTATATTTATAATAATTCATACATAACAAAAAGGACCACTTTCACGTAAAAAAATGTGTAATATTAAAATCGTATTCGTAATTACGCTGATGTAGTACAGAATTGCAAGGAACTCAATCTGAAAAGCATCGACCATAGTCTTTAACCTCTAAAATTGTTGTTGTGGGTTCGTTATATGTATATTTCAAATTCGAGCAAACGGATTCGCTTTTGATCGCTAATCGCGTGCCCTAAATTAATTATCGAATAGGAGCGACGGCAACGAACCGCCGTCCAAAAGCGTCTCTCCGGTTCCCGATTAAAACGCGCGGGACCCCTTTATCTACTCGGTACCCGCACGCCATGGGTTTTCGAGCCGGTGCCGACGAAACTCTTTGATCTCGGTGAAACATTCCTCCTCAGCCTTTTATGATACCCGGCCGGGCCGCGTCTACGCAATCGTGGGCTCGTCGTATGACGCTCTATTGCCCCGCAGTTGCCGGCTTATTTTTTCGATAGCAAAAACGATTTCTCATGCCACATCTACGATCGAATTAGCTAAACTAACCAAAACTAACTTGGGAAAGTCAAAGTTCGCGCACGCCGGTACCCGAGTGCGGCGAAATGACGGCCACGACTCGGTCGACGCGGACCATCTACGAAATTATCACGGCACTCTAAAAAGTTTATCTTTTGTAAAGCGGTTGTTTTGTAGCAGGCCGAGTGAGCGGCGTTCGTTTATTCCTCTGTCGGTTAGTCCGTGTGTTGTGTCGTTGGGGTGCGGACGTTTTGTGGCGCGTTTCTATTGCGCGTGACGTAATATCCGAATCGTCGTCGCGCGAGACGGACATGTGCCGCCCTTTGGGGAGATTTTGGTAAACGGCGCGGAGAAACGACGAAAACGATGAAAGCGGCGGCGGTTCTGCTTTGTTGCGCGCTAGTTTGCGCCGCGGAAAAATGCGAGAGGATATCCGCGGGGCTCTGCCAGAACTTGGGGTACAACTCGACGATGATGCCCAACTTTATGGGTCACGACAGCCAGATAAACGCAGATCTAGGGGTGATTATTATTGGTTTCGCTATCAATTTCGGCGTTATCTTTATGGCCCCCCGCTATCGGGCCCGCGTTCGTGTTTTTTATTTTTTTTAAGGCAATAAAACGTTTTACTGCCGGGCGGCGTAAGTCGATTTTATTATCGTTCGATTGCGATCGACGACGGGCGATTTTAAGACAGGCGTGACGTCACCGTTTGTGGCTCGCACCGAAGTGGATGCGTCCAGTTTAAGGGTTCTGTGCCGTAATGCCCCTAACCTCACTCTCTCGATTGTGTTTTCATTAATGAACGCCCAAACTGATCAACAGAAGTGGGAAAAAGATGTCGGTTTCGCCGCTGGGCCAAATTAGTTTCCACTTTCCTATAAACGCAACCAAACTTATATCGAATCACTCAATATTAGTATGAAATATTCGTTTAATTTTTTTTTTATTACAAGCGATGAAAAAGTACATATGTTTACTAACAAGAACAGGTAGATAAACAAAATAAGTTGATAAGATTTGTCATGCCAATTTCTATGGGTTTGATGGAGTTTATAAGTCATTTATTCATGCACTTTTTGGAGGTTATTGAAAGTCCAGAGGGGAAAAATTAATTAGAAAAGCTGGAATTGAGTACCCTAAAGAATTAACCACGTAGAAGTCGGCAGGGCAGAGTTGCTTTGTAGCTCAAATTTGGAAGCTACAGGTGTGACTTTTTCGTCACTATCAGAAGAAGCCTGAAAAGCCTGCAAAGCTTACAAATCTTTCAAAATCAAAACATTGCTGCCTAAAAGAATCGGTCTATTAATCGATGACCTTTTTCCATTTTAAGAGGTAGAAGAAGACAAGCTATAGTCCGCACTGCCAAACCTATGCTGAAATACAAAGGAGGTACTTTCATGTTTTAGGGTGCTATTATGATTTTGAAAAAACTACTTTAATTCCCATTTAACAGAATATAACTTATAGGTTTGTTATGATCATGTACTTGATCTTCTTTGTGTTGAGCGTCAAACCAGTCGACTGGCAGTGAAGACCTTATTTAGCAGTTCTTGTAGATCATGCATATTTTCAACAAGGACAGTGTCGTCCGCGTAGCGCAAGTTATTAATTATCTTGATATTTACTCTGATACCTCCTGAATCGCACACAACGGTTCTGGTGAAAATTTCTTCAGGTCAGTCATCGTTCCTTGCACTCGTATTGTTTCCTTCTGATTAGAGTACTAACTGGTTATGCCTCACATTATCAAACGCCTTGTTGTAATCTATGAAGCAGGCGTAAACTTGATGATCGACATCGAGACAGCGTTGTATGAGGATATTGTACGCAAATAATGCGTCCCGAGTACTGTTTCCGTTTCTAAAACCGAACTGGGTATCCGAGATGGTATCTTCGAGTTTCTGAAATACTCTGCGGTGTTTAACTGTCAAGAATACTTTTAGTGTATGACTCATCAAGCTTATTGTGGGCAGAAGATTGCAAGAAGAAGAATATCCTGGTTTGGTTTAACTTGTCTTCTGCAGATCTTTTCAGAGCAGTGGTTGCAAGGTCAGGATTGCCATGATGTTAGCAAACCTCCGCAATGGAGAAGCAACATGAAGAAGGAAAAAGGTTTGTTTTGCAACCTGTAATCAGGCTCCGGCGAGGTGGGTTTTGGCGATTTTTTTCCATTTACGCGAGATAACTCACCCTTGCAATTTTTTTCTTAGACGCGGAAGATGCTGCAGTTTCTTGCTCACCTAATCTCTGTCCTATAGAGAGAGCACTTTTGAGTTAAAGTCAATAGAAAGCCGTTTTAGAATAACTGGCAAATATTCAATGCTAAAGGCATCAATACTTTTTCATTTCACTTCTTAAATCGTCATTTCTGGAGAAATTATTTTTTAGTTATTTTTGTAATGAACTTGGTTAGACAGAACTGGTCTACTTCTCGAAATTACTTGATGATTAAACGTAAGTTTGGTTGTGCATGTTATCTGGTATTGCCTTTCCGTTAGGCGCGGCACGTATTTTGAGGTTATTTTTTGTAAAGGGTTGCGACCGACGGAAATATGCTCGCATCGTTTGAACCTCGGCTTCCAATTGCGTTCAATGAACTGCCGCGTGTTCCTCAAACTGGGTTTAAAATACGTCACATTACGTTAAGTGTCAGCGAAAATGCAGCGCCTAAACAAAAGATCGGGTCTGTTTTTTCGTACACAACCTAATCCCATTGAATAACTTCGAATGAGAGTTGTGGTTGGTTGGGGTGGTGGTGGTAAACAAGTAAATCTTTAACATCGCTGAAGGTTTGGGTGAGTAATAACAGCCATATAGAAGTTTTCTTCCATAACAGTGATTTCTACGCTTGACCCCAATGGAATCCGAGCATTTTTTTGACAGATAAAGACAGAAGGATACTGTCGAACTATAACCGCATTGAAACCGAAAAAAAAAATTGAAAGATTGATATGGTTCGTTAGTTTGTTGGATATTATTGGGTAAAAGCGATTTTTTGAATGACTCGCACTTGTGCATATTCATTGTTATGCTTGTGAGTGTATTAGGAGCACGGGCATGGCCATTGTATATCAGTAATTATATGACAAAAATATCTCTTGCCAGCAGCGTTAGGGTTTATAAAGAATGTACGAAAAACTTCGAAAGGATTGAAGAATTGGTCCGGCCGTAAGGCATCGATCAGATAAAGCTGTAGGAACATCGTACTGTTGGTTCGACGACTTCCGGAATAAAGCCGACATTATTCAACATCGTATATTTCATTAACCAATCTTTAGTCGTAACCTTATTGAGTGAACATATCATTGCGTTAAAACTTGAACCATCTCGATTATTCTAAATAAAAACAGAGTGTATGCTTCACTTAGTTTTATTAGAGAAGCAAAACTTTATGCTAATATTTTCTATCAATCGTTCAGGGCAGAAATACGAGGTACGTCATTAATAATAAGGTATAATTGGGCCATGTTATGCAAAAGACTTCCAACCCTCAAATCAATAATATTGAGGCATTTGTAAATGTATTTTTTTCTAAATAAGAAAATCTGTAACCAACGCATACAAAACTGAATACAGAAAAAGTGTATCAATAGCACAAGTGTTATATTACTTTACAGTATATAAGTTTTAATTTATTTATTTATTTTTATTTTTTTCAAAAATGCCGAAAATTTTGTGGCTTTGTAGTATTTAGCAAAATGAAAATCAGCCATAGGAAGGACCAACGTCTTTTTATATTAAAGAATATTGAGGGAGAAACATAAAATTCGATAACTGAAGTATTTACTCGCTTCAACATTGAAATCTGAATTCATCTACATATTCGACCATGCTGATTTTAAGTCTGTATAAAAAGGCAGAGCATCTCCCGGTATGAGATGCATAATTTCCTTTAAGTTCTTAAGTTTCTCTTCAGAAATTGTTCTACAGTTTGGTCACAAAGGCACTAGAAACGTAAAAGATGAACTAATGGATGTGGATGACATACCTCTTAGATTTTTTTTATATTTATTGCTTGGTATTCATAAATTGGTTAAGGCTTTCACGGCCCGTTGATAAGCTATTATCTTCATTCGGGTTTAAAGGCCGTCGTCGATTGGAATTACTTCCTAACGTTTCGCTAGCACGAGTGGCGAGCTTCTTCAGAGGTCCTTCCATCTCCGATGTTGGACGTAGACTGGTCTACGTCTACGTCTACGTCTACGTCCAACATCGGAGATGGAAGGACCTCTGAAGAAGCTCGCCACTCGTGCTAGCGAAACGTTAGGAAGTAATTCCAATCGACGACGGCCTTTAAACCCGAATCAAGATAATAGCCCCCCCTGCTTGGTATATTCATTTGCAAATTATTTTCTTTAACTAAGATTATAAACTGGTCATTCTTTTGTAATTTAATCGATCTAATATGTAGCCAGTTTCATTTTTCTCCTGTTTTGGTTTGTCGTCTGTTTACAATATTTTTTTCAATATTTGAAACGTCGTAAGAATTAGTCGATTTCATTTTTGTTACTAAAAATTCTATATCGCTGAAGTCCGAGCCGTTCCGTAAGAAGCTGTGTCCCGAGATGAAAAAAATCATGGTTATTGTTTCGAGATTTGGGGTATTTTGTAATATTTAAAGAAGGAAAAGAGTCATTTTTAATATTTCTGTTTTGACCCCCACACGAGTCACTCCACAGAATAAGATGTTTCGCTTCTAAGGCAAACATCTATGGCGAGTGTATAAAGGTTAGGAAGGGGGTACCTCTGTGAGTGGTAGGACGATCAATAAACTTAGGTATCCTGACGATACTAGTTTATTTGTCAGCAACGAGCAGGAACTAATGGAACTGTTCCAGCGAGTCGAGACGACTAGTCGCGGACAAAGATAATGATTATCGATCGACCAAGAAATAACAGACCAGAAATCAAGAAAATAAGTGGTATAGATGTCGTTAATCAGTTGGTGTATCTTGGCTCTCTGATAACCAATTCAGGAGGGTGCATGGCGGAAATCAAAAGGCGGTCAGCTGTTGCCAAAGAAGCTATGGTTATGCTGAGCTGGATCTGGAAGAGTCCAGACATAGCCCTGTCTACAAAGATGAGACTCGCCAAAACCTTGGTATTCTCAGTCTTCTTTTATACATCGGAGTGCTGGATACTCTATATGCTGCCGATGTTTTTGAGATGTGTTGTTGGCGAAAGATGCTGCGCATATCATGGACACAAAGAAGAACGAACGAATCAATTTTAAACCAGTTAAAGATTACAAAAAGACTGCGCGCCATCGTCTCCGAGCGAATTACATCCTTTTTTGGACATGTCGTCAGAAAAAATGGACTGGAAAAACTCACTATTCAAGGGAAGGTGTAAGGAACAAGAAGCCGAGGAAGATCTTCAGCCAGATAAGTGTACCTCATTGTCAAGGATCCGGAGTAACGCTCAACGAATGTTTTAGAGCCGCTGAAGACATTCGGAAATGGAAAGAACTCACAGAAGAAGAATATCATCGAAATACTCGGAAACATCTCAGTAGAAGA